AGTGCCAGGCTGGATGAGGCTTTGAGCAACCTAGTGTAGTGGAGGGTGTCTCTGCCCATGGCAGGGGGTTTAGAGCTGAATGGTCTTTGAGGTCCCTTCCAACCCGAACCGTTCTATGATTCTATGATCCACACCCTTCACAATAGGATCCAGCAGTTCTCTGGTACTTTCTCCCTGTCCTCGTGGACCGATGTAGTGTTCCAGGTGGGTACTGCTTCTGTGCTTGCCAAGATTATGTTAGGGGACCTACAAAGCCTGTCTCAGAAGAGCAGCAGTTCTGTGATGGGAGATAAAGATGTACTGGTAAGATTGCATTGACCTCTGGAATGAGGCTCATGGAATTTAAATTAAAACGTCTGGACTTGCAAACTGGCATCTGCAGGTCCTTCAGTCAGCCCACCTGTTGGATAAGCACAAGCCCATTTCCTCTTCGGTGCTTTGTCTGGAGCTTCCCTTCTCATAATCTCAAAGGAGACTGCTGTTGGGTGTCTAATTCCAAATATCTCAGGTTGGGTTGACAACGCAGGGTGTTAATAGGGCACGAGAGCAAAGTTTACCAGCCAAAGGCAGAAGGACACTTTGATAAAGGCCCTTGTGCTGTGCCCTCTTCTTCTAATGGGTCGTCCTTTGCAGTGTACGAACTGTGTACGTTCTTCTCCACCATCCCACTTCCAAGTGATTCGCAGCACCTGGAGAGAACTGCTTAGGCAGGAAGGGTGCAAGTAGATGAGGCTCAAAGATGTATTTTTTTTTTTTTCTTTTTCAGACAAAATTCAGGCGCATACTTAGGGCAAAAAGAATAAGGCAAGTGTTTGACCATAAACAAAAAAGAAGCCCAGCCCACGGGCTTTGTACTGACTGTTGCAGAAAAGTGTCTGAAGTTAGGGAAGTGCTGCAGCTCTAACCAGTGGAACAACTGGTCTCTGTCCCTTGCCTGACTGGCAGTCCAAGGATTGGTTTTGAAAATCAGCGTGACTTAGTTCTTGCAGGAACTTAGCTGCTGGCCAGATGGTGGAGGGTTCAAGGGCGTTGTGTAAAGTGGCTGTGACTTGTGGGAACATCGTGGAGTTATGACTTTGCCCACGGTTGTGTTGTGTGTGAAAGGAAGGGAACATCACAGGTATTGCCACTCATTATGATAGGGACTAAGCTGTCTTGGTGATACCATAAAGGAGAGTTAAAAAAAAAAAAAAAAAAGGGACTACAACTTTAATGTACCATCTCAATGATGTGGTCCAGTGCAGCGCAGGATCCCATTCTGTAAGGGGATTATCCGTAGCCTGAGATGTGCTGAAACATGACCAGAAATGCAGGCAGGTACTCCTTGATATGCATCGATGTGGAGTTTGCAATGCTGTAGCAAAGAAGGCCATGTTTTAGGGGGAAGGGAGGTGTGTCCATCCCTGTAAGAAATATCTTTGCTTGGATAACTTCTGCGGAAAATCAAAATGGGGTAGGAGGAGACATGAGTTATGGGTATGAGGAGTCAGCGTAATGGAAAATAAATTGTATTCTCTGAGCGGGGGCTTCTACAAGTACAATAAACAGCAACACCACGAATGATTTTTGTGCCACAAACTGCTCTTTAGCCTCATCTTGGCAGCAATGGGCTGTTTGAAATGGCTAATTTGGGGGGATTTTGGGTGGAGGAACACAACAGATGGCAAAAGGGGAGTATTGACTCCGAGTAACAAGTACACATGCTTCCGAGGGCAGTACATGGTAAATGTCCTCTGACCAAGTGCCAAATGCCTGTTCCACAACTAGTGGTGGGACAAAACTGAATGTTGGGTTGTTTGTCCTGTCTCATTGCAGAATATCTCCCACACGTGTGGCTTACATGGGAATTTAGCTGTTGCACAGGAGATAATATACCTATTAATTGCCATGTTCTGCCAGCTCCCCTCTCCTTGGAAGCTAAAGTCAGGGCCTCTTGTATGTTCCCTGACTGGACTAGTGTCAATCCCTCATGAACCTACTACATAGGACCTCTGCTCTCTCAGTTGTAGTACCCTCATCCACCCAGTGCAGTTTTTCTTCTGAATTTTGGAAGAAATGTTAATGAAGCTTGAGGTTCTGGGATGTCTGTCTCAAAAATCAGCAGTGGGCTCGAACTACAGCTGCTCTGGGAGTCCACCGAGTGCCACTTAGGAGACCTCAGGCTCAGACAGGGTTAACAGGTACCATGAGCTGGCTTGGCTTCTGCTGCTGGGTGAGAATGGCCCTGGTACCAGTTCAGAATTGGGGGATTCTAATTTTTTTTTTCCCCGTTATGATTCTCGTTCCATTTATCCTGGAATGGTTCTTGTATACACAAGTCTGTTTTGTGCCAGTTTCGTACCGAGATGATGGAGGTTGGTGCTGGGCAGATCGTTTTAAGGGGTGGTCTGACGCTGTGGGTGGATTGGTCAGGATGTGCCATGTGCTTAGAGTAGCTTAATCCCACTTTTGCAAGAGTGGATGGCATTGAAACCGAGCTGAAGCCTGTTTTGAGTTCAGATTTCTGTCCTGGGATTCATCTGGCACATCCAGATGTGTAACTGGTTTGAAGAGGACTCCGGTGTAAACTTCAGCCAACAAAGCGACGTAGATACTACCACAGAAAATAGTTAACCTCTCAGTATCATGAACTCTTGTTTTCCTATAAATTTTTCCCAGTGGGTTGCTAATAAGTACACTCCTTGGGAGGGGAGGAAATTTTTTCTTTAAGAAACCTAATTTTCACTTGAGAGTCCCCTCGTAAATGGGTCCTTCTGCTGTTAATGATGGGTGAAAAGGCAACAGGTAGGATGGTGTTATCTTTTATGGTTGTGCTATTCTGATGGCTGCCTTACCTCCCTAGTGCTAGTGGATATAAAACCCTTGGAATTTGTTCAGTCACAGTCTGGAGATTGTTTTTGTTTAACCTTCTTGCAGGTGAAAAAGGAATTGGCAAAACAACTGGAAAGAAGCTGTGTTACAAAGGCACTACGTTCCATCGTGTAGTTAAAAACTTCATGATTCAGGGTGGGGACTTCAGCGAAGGTAAAATACACTCTTAAAACTGAAATGTTTTAAGTGGAACAGAAATGTTACAACTTACGTGGTTATAATATACTTTTAGAAAATACCATGGAAGCATCACAATGCCATAAAAATATTTTATTCGTAGCTTAGATCACCTGTTTCTTTGTTAATCTTTGAAATTCTAAAATGTTTCGACTGAAGTAATATTTATTTAGAAAATGTGTGAAGTTAAAGAAGAAGAAAAAAAAAACCCTTGCTGGAGTTAACATCTCTCTTATTAAAACAGACTTCACATCCAAAATTAGTCTTACTGCTTTTCACTTTTGTGTCTGCAGCAGAGGCAACACTAACGATGCTCTATTGACAGAAGGACCTCACTGTTTGAATAAGTTTACTTTTTTAAATTATTTTTAGTAAATGAACTAGGAAGTGTTTAAGAAAGGTTTTTTTTCATAAACAAAAGGTTTAACTCGTGCTTTTTAATGCGTAGGTAATGGAAAAGGAGGTGAATCTATTTATGGTGGCTATTTTAAAGGTAAGAGGAAGTATGTCTCTGCAGATTCTTTATTTGTCTGAGATAAGTCTTGATTCCCAAGCTACTTAATGAAAACAGGTCTACTTATAGATCACCTTTTGCATGAAACTAATGTTGCATGAGAATTATTTTTATATGCATGACTTTCAGATAATTTTTTTTTGGTAATATTTAACTTTAACTGACAATTAATTAAGGCTAACATTATTGGTTAAACGTGACTTTCAGCATGGAGGTTAGGCAACTTTATTCATGAATAAACTCCTATCTTCCTGCCTAAAACTGTCAACATATTCTTTTGTTTATAGAGAATGTGGTCTTTTGCAAAATGAAAAGGTAAGAGACAAAAGCTCAGTAACACAAATTCAAACTCTGTTCCCTTGTACCCTCCCTAGTAAATATATAGACAACTGGTACGTCCGTTTGTAGATGGATATCTGTGTTGCTTGGAGAAGTGAGGAGTTCTGTGTCTAACCTTTCTGAGGGTTAATGACTTATTCTGAGAAAGAATACTGGCGTAATTTCCAACTCTAAACAGTTATTTCTTCTTTTGTTCACGTCCCTTTCCTCCCTTTCCCTGTTCAAGGTTTGTATGCTTAGTGTTCCTTTCTAAAAGTGTTTGGCTTTGTTGATATGCTACACAAGTTATTTTACTTGCAAGGAATTTGTAAATAAATGGACATTTACCTCTTAAAATCTGTTGTTGGAAGGAAAATGGTGAGTTTATAAAGTATTCCTGTAAAGACATGCAATTCTTTCTTGCAAAAAACCAATAGTTATTGTGACATTAAGTGTTAATGAAGGCATTGTATGGACTTATGTATAACAGCCTCTGGTTCTGTCTGTTTTGCAAGCAGCTCTGGTGGTTAAGTGCGTGCCATTAAATTTGTCCTAAACACAGACATGGGTTGGTGTTGGAGGATTGCAGCCTCGAGGCAAAAGAAATCTTGAATAGATCCATTTGCTACGAAGTTACTAGGGGGTGTTTCTAAAGGCAGCGAGTGCTGAACACATAGCACTGTGTTTGGAGATGTAATCTTAAAAATAACAGCTTTGTGCACGCAAATTATTATTTTTAGCTTTGAAAACAAACTTCAGAAGATCTCAGTTTATTCTATATTATATTCTGTACAACCAGAAGGCCTCTTTAATTCACTGGAGTATAAAATGCGTGTTTAGTTTAGTCTGAATTGATGATATGCTTAGATTGCAGGAAGAATATGTTCTTCAGTTTCTCATTCAAGTATCTGTTTGTTTTTTTTTTTTTCCCTTGTATGTTTTGAGACTCCCAGTTTTGAGTTGATAGGGGGCTGTTTTCTAATGTGCCATGCCAGGGAAATGACTTTTTCCTCTAGATCTTTCTACCTGAGGTGTGCATGCTGTGTAAATATCTGTGTTAGTGTTAAGTCCTACTTTAGGATGTCAGTAAGTCTGCCCAGAAAATGCTGGATTTAAATCCAAGTCTCTGAGAATCTAATGTTTATTGAAGACACTAATGATGACTTTAATTTTTTTTTTTTCATTAGAAATGTTTGCACTATATCTGAAACTTTTCTTTAAGAATGCTTTCTGTCTCGTAACTGCTTCTACTGTAACATCTGAGAGGCTGGTTTAAACTTTGGTTTTGTTCATGTTTCTTCAGCAGCAGCAGAATTTCTCCTTATAGCATCTAAGACGATTAGACTTGCGTTCCTTGTCAGGGAAAATCTGACAAACATATTTTTTCTTCAAACAGATGAAAACTTTATTCTCAAACATGACAGAGCGTTCCTTTTGTCAATGGCAAACCGAGGGAAACATACCAATGGTTCCCAATTTTTCATGTGAGTAGTTGTACCACGACAGTTGAGCTTTTCTTCAACAGAGAAGCGCTGTTCATGAGAAAGATGGTATTGCTAAATTATCTGTGACAATGTTCTCTGCCTTCTTTTGAGTAGGGTTTAAACTGTAGTAGGAAACTTTGGTTATTGCAATTTACTCATGGCATTCATTGGATTAAAAGCTGGTACTACATGGATGTTCCTTGTTCGTTGCTTTTTACCCTAAAAAATATAGCTTCTGCAGCAAGTTCTTAGTGTCCAGAAAATAGATTCTTTGGCTTTGTGTGTGCACCGAGCAAATCTTCACAGCTTATCTGCAAATTACAGTGTCGAGCATTGTATGCGAAAGGGAGTGAGATCTAGAGGGGCTTTGTCTGGTTTTGCATGTGCTCTTTAAAATATGATGATTTATGATTTAGTTTGGGGGGATTTTTTTTTTCAGAGGGGAGGATGAGTGGGGATTTTGTTGTTTTGGTGTGTGTTTTAAAATTATTTTTTTTTTATTTTGGAGTGTTGGTTCCTGACATGCTTTTCTTCTGTACTGCTGCATAGTTCTGTTCACTTGTGCATATGCCAACTACTTTGATACCAACACTATGTAAAAATTATGTGCTGATAATAAGATTTTTTTCTTCATTACCTTAAAAAAAAAAAAATCCATTCTAGTATGTAGTCATATTCTGTTAAATTGTAGAAAACACAAGACTCTACCGTAAATAAATCCTCAGGTCTGATGTGTCAGGGTCTTCTGGTTAAAGTAGTTGTATTCTAGGTTCAGTATTTTTAAATTTGTTAATTTTTATGTGGTTATTCCTCCTGTTAACTCCCTTTCAAAAATTGCCTTCTATTTAATGGTTTGTATTTGGAAAGATCTGAATTATAACTTTGGGCTTGTGCTGAGAAGAACTTTTGAAAACACCAGTGTTATTTCACAAAGTAAATTTTAGTGTAGCTACTTGCATAGAAAAACCTTTTTCTTTGCCATCTTTCTTGGGGGATAAGAATGAATGGCGCTTCACTGTCTTCAGTAAAGGAGTAAATTGTCCTCAAGACACTTTCTTTTTTTTCTTTGCCTGAAAAAGATTTTCAGTATGATACAGTGAAGTTCAGATAAGAGACATTTTTAGGTCTTTTCCTAAAGAATGTCCTAAAAATGGAAAATGAATAGGAAAATCATTTTTTGAAGATTATTTCTAAGAGGAAATCTTTCAGTTACTGCTCTTCTGACTTTCCCTAGAGATAAAATCATAAATGTAAAAAACCAAAACAACAAACAAACAAACAAAACCCCAACCTACAAAAAAACAAAACAAACACACCTCAACATGTTACAGTAAATCTGAATGGATATATATAAAATGGAAAACAATCTATGTATATAAAAAAAAACCCAACAACCTAGTGGTTTAACAAGCTCTCTGCAAGACATTGGTTTACTATTTATGACTTTCTGGCTTATCTTTTGGTTCTCTTGTCATGATTTTCCATTTTTAAGCTTATCTGAACAATATACGTGAAAACTTACATGACGCCACATCGTCAAGAAGCTGTCATTTGAGGGCTCTAAAGTTTCTTTTCTCTCCTGCATTTGTTTCAGAAATTGTCTTCTTTCCCTTATGCTCAGTAGACTCAGCTTATTTGTTCTGTGACATTTAACAGACAAACACCTTGCCTCTGCCACACACCAGAACAATCCAGGGTTGTTAGATGCTAAATCATAATTTACATGGGACAGTAAAATGAAGAGTATTTAAGATCACTTTCTTCAAATATAGAAGTATTTTGAAGAATGGAGATTTCTTCAAAAATCCTGTTTTTTCATAAAATCACTGTAAAGAGAAAGTGTTAGTTTGGTGGGAATTCAGGCAGTGTAAGATGCCTGAACATAATCGTCTCCACGTAAGCCAGATCCACCTCAGCTGCCTATAGGAATCTGAAGCCGTTTTTAGGATCCTCAGGTGTCCTATCTGGCCTTCAGCTGCTGGGAGAGAAGGGTGTGGATGTTCCGAAGGTCTCAAGTCTTACCTGCCTGCCCGCACAGATTTCTTGGATATCCTGTAGTGTCTGAAATGACACCAGCTTTCCCTGGAGTCAGGCAAGTGAATCAAGCCCAGGAGTGAACTCCCAGTATAATTGATGAGGTTTAGGTGGGCTGCTGTCGAAGTCTTCAAAGATGCTCTAATGCTCCAGACTTCTGTGACCTTCTTGTCTGGGGCTTTTTTCCTTTTACTGCACGCAGGCATCTAATGCTGTTTGGGACACCATTGGGAACTCCAAGGCAGGGTGTGCAAACATGATGTAGCACCTGCAGGACACCCTGCGCTCCTGGAATAGCAGCTGGAAGCCAGGCAGGATACAGGAGGGCAGCTCGGGATGCCTGGATGTTGGCAAAAGAGCGTTCTCCCTACATCTAGCTCCCTTGCAGATGCCTTTACTGCATTCAAGGTAATGCCTTGAAGTTCAATCCCACCTTTAACCTCCAGTAGTGCAGCTGATCTTGGGAATGAGTATTTACGGTTATAGCATGCATGCAGGAGCCACTGAGGCTGCTCGTAAAGGCAGGGGGATGTATGTATACAGCCAGTTGTATACCTACAACTGTGCGTATGTGTGTAAAGTCAGGTTCTTGTTTGATAACTCAGTTTATGAGTAGACAGGGACGGATGGTGAATCGCATAGTTCCACAGTCTGTCTTTTTGTGTAGTTTTTTAATGGTGGAACTTGGTTTCTGCTTCATAGAATCACAGAATGGTTTGGGTTGGAAGGGACCTCAGAGATCATCTTGTTCCAACCCCCCTGCCATGGGCAGGGACACCCTCCACTACTCAAAGCCTCATCCAACCTGGCCTTGAGCACTTCCAGGGATGGGGCATCCACAACTTCTCTGGGCAACCTGTTCCAGTGCCTCATCACCCTCTCAGTGAAATATTTCTTCCTTAGATCTAATCTAAATCTCCCCTCTTTCAGTTTAAAGCCATTGCCCCTTGTCCTATGACTACACACCCTTGTCAAAAGCCCCTCTCCAGCTTTCCTGTAGGCCCCCTTTAGGTACTGGAAAGCTGCAATAAGATCACCCTGGAGCCTTCTCTTCTCCAGGCTGAACAGCCCCAACTCTCTCAGTCTGTCTCCAGAGCAGAGGTGCACCAGCCCTCGGATCATCTTCGTGGCCTCCTCTGGACCCGCTCCAGCAGCTCCACGTCCTTCTTGTGTTGGGGATGTCCTTGTCCTTCATAACATGGAGAGTTTAAATTTCGAGATTCAAAGTAGGAAACAATTGCTGAAGACTTTAGGCAGTTTCAGACTTTGCTTTAAAATGCAATATGTTAAACCAGTTTTGCTGGGTGACGTTTGCCTGATTACTTCAGAGAATGTGCTGTGCATCCATACAGCTTTTCTCTAGTAAAGTATATCTGTTTCCTTTAGTGATATACTTTAAGCTGAAATTAAAATGTGTTTTCTTATACTCGAAAGAATACTCAGTTATTCCGTAGTTTATCATGAGGAAAAATGTTCTTCAAAGGTGTAACTTGAAAATTGTGTGAAAGACAGTCTTCAGTGGCAGTCTTGAGATTTTCTTTTTTAATGACCTCAACATGTTTGAGTTTATTGATTAGATTTATAGAAAGGGAAATAGTTCATCTCCACCTGAACTTCTTGAGATGTTTGCAGTTTTTCATAGGTAACTTCAGGGATGAGAAGTCTCTGTTTCTCTATTGTACGTGTGTCTACTGTAGCAGATAGGGAGTGCAAATAAGTTATTTTCTTTTATGTAAGTATTTGTCCAAGTAGGGCTGTTTTGCTGCTCAGCAGAAGTGCTTTCCCTGCTTACCACAGAGAAGTGCCATTTGGAATAACCAGGCTTTACAGAGAGTAATTAGGCAGCAAATATTTCTTTTTGACAAACTGCACTAACAAACTGGTCACAGCAAGACTGTGCAATGCCCAAAAATTGTTAAAAGTTGAGCAGCAGTGGTCAGTTTTACTTGAAGCGGAAGCTCCAGGCTAATCTTAATGTAAACAAACGTCTGACTGATCCTAAAATATCATCAGCTTGCTTTGATTCCTCGGGGGTTTTCTCTGGCCTGAATGAATTTGAAGCATTTGGAAGCGACAATAGAGAAGTGGGCATGGAAAAGACTGTAAGTATTGTTAGGAAGCTCCAGTGAGGCCAGTGGAAAAAGAATAATGTAAATTCAAGCACTGGTAGAAACTTGCGAGATGGAAAAATAGAATAAAGAGTCAGAAGTGTGCATATGATGTTCAGATTTGTGAAGTGCTGGAATTTCCATTTTCTGTGCCCAGAGGGCTCTGTTGTAGCATTTTATTGCAGACTTGTGTTGAAGACAGTTGTAAGGTACCAGTTTATAAATTAGCTCTTTGTATTTTCAGATAGCACCACTATTAATTTACTTCCATTTTGTAAATAACTTCTTTTAGAACCAAAAGTTATTCAGCAAGTGTTCTGAACGCTACCCGAGTGTGTTAATCCCCTAATTGTTATTTCCATGTGGATGCTCAGGTATGGAATCCCTCAAACGAGGTAGAAGTTGACAGGACCCACTCTAGAATTACCTTCCTGTTTCTGTACACTCCAATATCTGTTTTGGGCTGCTGCCAAAAATATTACTGTTATTGAGGGAGTGTGTTTAGGGCGTTGCACAGACATCACTGGTGGTGCAGGATGGTCCCTCATATAGAGTCAGAGAGGATAGTTGTCCTGTTCTGGGATGTTCCAGCTCGGTGTCTGGATTACTGGTGGAACGATGAGACTCCTGATCCTACAGACGCTTGCATGGGCTTAACTTTGCTTCCATTGTCATACAAAAAGCTGTCTACACTTACTAGAAAAATGGAAATGATTGTACAGGAATGAAGCATAAACAATAGGAGGAAGGAAAAAAGTAACCAACCTCTTTGCTGTTACTGGGAAGTTTTGTGTAACGGTTAATTTATTACCTTGTTATTTAGCCGAGTAGTTTCCCGAGGAATGCATCCTTATTACAATTTAAAGAGGAGTCCTCCGTTGTGCTCTTTAGCAGTTCAGATGCTTTGAGTTCTTGCTTCTGTGTTCAAAATCTACTTAAAACTCGAGGCTGTCTTGCTATTACTGCTAGATTTATGGATTAATTTTTTTCCATGTTGAGGGTATTGTTGGTTTAATGTGTCTCTCAAGCTTTGCTTTCTTGCTCAAAACTAAATAGCTGCTTTTGTTTTTAAAAATGTTTTTAATGCGTGGTGCCATGCCCGGTTACTAAATTCAAACAAACTAACGACTTTGATCTGCTAAATAAGGATACAGTAAATCGTGAGGACTTTTTTGTTTTGATTTTACAAATGATTTCTGAATGTTACCAGCTTATTAAAAATGGTTCATTTCTAAGTCTTTTTGGTGTCCCAAAACAGGTATTTTTCTAATCAACAATTACTTTTTTTTTCTGAGTGAAATGCCTTCGAGCTAAATTTTAAACAGTCGATAGTAATATAAAAACCTAAAAACTTTAAATGTAAAAGCACAGCCTGTGTGAAAACATTCACAGGATGTTTTTGTGTGATAAGTAACAAACAGATCACTTCAAGGCTCAGATATGCAGAGACATCATTAAGAACTAACAGATTTTTTTGGGGGGGAGGAAAAAAATACGAATAAGCTCAACTGATCCTACGGTTTTAAAACGTTGCTGCTGTTCAGAGTTGCACCAGAGCAAAAGTATGTTTTACTTGGTGCACGTGTTCTTGTCTTTTTAGCATCTGCAATGCATTTGGTTTTTCTCTACTTCTGAACACAAGTAATCTGATAGCAACACCCATATTTTAGAGAAAACCCCTGTTTTTCTTACTTTTAGAAAAGCTTCATAACACAAGGAAGATGTCAGCGACTTAGGAAGTGTGTGATGTTGTAGACTTACTGACTCAACACGTTTCATTTGTAAATCAAAACATTTAAGTTACAGCGTGCCATCCTTCGAAGGATGTACTTGGGACTGGTATTCAGTAGAGCATTTGGACACTTATGGAACTGCAAGCATGTGAATAAACCCATTTAAAGCAGTTATTCATCTGCTTAAAGTTGTGCATGTGTTCTGACACTGGATTGGGACTTAGAGGGAAGTGGGAGGATTCTCTTTTCTAACATTTATCTGTGTAATGGTGTATGCAAGCAGGTTATGTCTATAGGTTTCTTTTTATTTTTTTAAGGAGAACTTACTGTAGTTTTCAAAGTACCTTGTATTCCAAAGAAAATTTAGAGCCCTCTTTTAGGCATCCTTGTTCTGCATACAACTTGATTAATATTAATTTTAACCTTGTGTTTAATAAAACATAGACTCAGTTTTGTCTGAAAATGTATTACAATTTATTTCTGCCGTTTTTGTGTAAAATTTACAGAAACAGTGTTACATCGTGCGCTCCAAAGGTAATGTCTCATTCCTCTAAGGCTGTGTCCTTTCCTTTTCTTCTTTCTGTTTTTATCTTGTTTTTCTGATCATGTTGTTGTGTGCATTGAATCCTTTGTTAGGACTGAGGTTCTTGGGGGGGTGGGGTGAGCGATAACTTGCTTTGATCAAAAAGATGCTTTTCTCTTCAGCAGTATCTTAAACCAATTTGCTTTAAACTTGAGTGAAGACAGGGTATTTGTCCTTCTGTAAATAACTTGGATAATAGTATATATCGTAAGGCAGATTTTGAATCTTTTAGATTATAAAAGTTATTTTAATAAAATATGTTGGGGGAGGACCTTGTCATGACTCTGGGTTTCTGTAGTGCAAAGGCAGTAAGTAGGTTTTCTCCCGATTCAGTTTTGAAGCCAAAGCAAATGTTCAAGGACTGACAGGCAGAACACGTGCAGAAAACTTTGAAGTTGTCTTTCATAGTGCACATTTGCAGAATAAATTGTCACGTCACAAACCTGACATTGAGATAAGAAAGCTGTCAAAAGCACAATGAGGAGTTGAGTTTCTGCTTCCCATAGGAAGTCACCTAACTCCTTGTCAGGCATCTGAAAAGTTTTCTTTTTGGATATCGCTTTTCCTTGTGTTTTTACTTCGTGAACAAGTAAAATGAGAAAAATCTTACCCATTTTATCTATCAAATTGCCAGTGTAATAGAAGAAACCTCTGCATGGGTTTTAATGTACCACCTCTCCCTTTCCTTGCTTACTTGAGGACTAGTCTAAAGAAAACAATTAGTTAATTTGCTTGATTGGTCTAAAGTGCTGCAGCAGTGTGGCAGGAGCACAGTGCTGCAGCATTCCTACTGAGTGTGTTTGGACCTATTGCTGTTCCTAACTAATTGTAATTAACTAAGTGTAATTCCTGACTTAGTGTAAGCACTAAGTCTTGTTTAGTATTGGTTGCATTGAAGTAACCCACTTCTATTTTTTTCACTACTTTAAATCAGCTTTATAATTAAGCCCACTTTAAATGTTTGCTTAACAGCAAGCTGTTAATGCAGTTAACTTTTGCTTAAAGAACCTCAAAAGCTGTAAGAATTTTCCTGTTTGTAGCAATGTGCTGTACTAGCAAGGGAAAAACCAACACCCCGTTTCTGAGAAATTAAATGTTGTCTTGATAGCATTTCTTTCCCTGTGTTAAACCCAAGAAGTTTTCTGTATTATTTAGTATTACAGAAGTGGGAATTCTAGTTGGCATTTGGAGCTTAAAACAAAAATATCAGAGTGTAAACACTCCTGATTGACAGTTCCATCTTTCGGCATACGTCCCAGCACTGCAGTGTTTCGTGACCTCGTAGTTCAAAACTCGAGTGAAGATACGTGCTGAAAAAGTAATATTTTGTCATAGCAGTGAAAAACTAACTTAATTGTATCACATCTGTGGTGTTGTAAATTTAGAAAAAGCATCTATGATTGATTATTTATTTTGAGAGAGGGGAGTTCATCGGAAGAAGGCTAGAAAGGCAAAACGGTGCCTGAGGAGGAGAGGAAGAATGTTCTCAAATATGAAAATAACTTCAAATGCAAATTATCTTGATTTCTATTTTTTTTGTCCCCTAATACATAAGCACATTCTCATGTTGTTCACTGAATTTCTCTGCATGGCAAGGTTCCCTGCACAACATCAATGCAGGCTTACCTGTAGGAGTAATTTTCTTTCCTGTTTTGGAGAAGGATATAGAGAGATACCAGGTCATAGCGTTATCATCAAAAAGGATATATCCTTTTAGGATAGTGGACGAAATGTAATGCAGTTGCACTTCTCCTTCAGACTGATAACAGCTAAAGGTGGGAAGGTGAAAACTGAGGAGGAAACAGAAGTGAACTGCAGGGTAGCATATAATGTCTGCTTGCTTTGTGCTGCTGTTGCTTTTGGGAAGCCTGGGGGCTTATGAGCTCAAGTGCTATTGTCTTGGTGGTCAAAGACAGAAATATTGCTTTGAATTCTGAGTCGTGAGGCCAGTCAAGTAAATGGAGAGTAAAAAAAGTAGCAGGGGGTGGGGGGAGGAAGAAGCAAAGAATCTATCACACATAATTCTCTTCTTTTTTTTAAATAAACTGACTTTAAAATGACCTTGTAATAACATAACAATTCCAGAGACATTTAAATTCCATTAGTTACCCAATATTTATTGCCAAATTGTATCTTCTCTGCGATTAAAAACATTAGTGAGTTATATCTGAATGTGTATTTAAAGACACTTAATTGAAAATGGTATATTGCATGCATAAAATGATACTTGGTACAGCTTTCAAGTATGCACAGTTAGCTAAAGTTCAAACAAACTTCATGTCAAACTTTAAAAAAAGCCTGAATGTATAATCTGTAAAGTGTTCGGTTTTTTTAATTCCATGTGTGTAACTGAATTTTTTCACTATTTTTTGTCTTACCTTCACCTTTTTTTTTCTGTGCCATTCTCCTCTTACTTCATCTGAATCCCTGATTATTTCTTTTTACCATCTTACCATCTTGCTGTTTGTCAAACAGAACAACAAAACCTGCTCCTCATCTCGATGGGTAAGAATCCTTTATAGTTTCTCCAATGATGGCTAAAATTTGCAAGTTGTAAGTCTTCACATGTTGTATTGAAAGTAGACAACAATGAGGAAACAAATTCTTAATTCTGTGAAAGATGATACAATAGAACAAGATGGAAAACAAAGGTTTCACTTCTATAAAAATTTCAAGTTGCAACTTATTTCCTGAAGCTGGTCAAAAACTTGGAAGGTCTTAAATCCTAACATTCAGTTCTTTAAAACTGGTTGCTGCTCTCAGTCCATAAATCAGTGAGTTAAAGTGACAAGTTTAATACATTTGGGTAGTACTCTTTTCTGTGGCATGTTTTTATCCCTGAAATGTGTTAGTTCCTGGAAGTATAAGTTCTGGGGCAAATGGAAGAAGGACAGAGAAATGTGGTATGGTAGAACAAAGCTGAGAAGTCCTTAATTATAACCGTTCCTGCAATGCCAGTGGGAACTTGTGTGCTGAGTTTGTGTAGACCTATAATGCTTCTTCTCTGGGGAAAACTGCACTTTGTCATTTGTGTTTCTGGATCTTTATCTCTCTATTGCATGACATTTCAAAAATAGAAGGGTGGATTAGAAACGATGATCTGTCTGCCCTGCCCATGTAGAAGAGAGTGGCATCAAGTATTTCTCTCAATTTGAACTAGAGTGGACCTCTGTTTCATATTGCATAAAATCTTAGCATTGTTGTAAACATAAAATTAATAAAAACCTGAAGTTTGATTAATTTTAAGAGCCAGACAATGCCAGTGAAGCTGCCTGTTTCTGTTTCAGAATGACTTTTTAAATCTGAAATTTGTTGGAAATAATTAGAGCCATATATAAATGTTTGTACTTCCCAAATATTTTATTTCTGCAGTGTCCATGTTGTCTTTGGACTGGTTATTTCTGGTTTTGAAGTGATCGAACAAATAGAAAATCTGAAAACTGATACTGCAAGTAGGCCCTATGCAGATGTCCGAGTTATTGACTGTGGGGTGCTCGTTACAAAGCCAGCAAAAGATGGTAAGTGGCCCTAACTGAATGTTGACTTTGTTTTCAGAGAGTATAAAAATCAAGCCAATGTCTGAAAATTGTTGTGCTAAATCTCTAGAATCTCAATTCTTACAAGCCTTTAAAAGGCAAACCTTGGTGTAGGTTTACACCAAGGAAGGGAAAAGGTTTTCTGACCTTGGAAAACGTACACCTGCTTCCTGTTCTCCTTAATTCACGTTTGAGGTTAATGTGGCATACTCAAAAAGTAATCAGAACTGATTTTTTTCTAAGTTTGAAAGATCCAAACACAAGCTTTTCTTGAAGTTGAATTTTGTGCAGTTTCCAGAGGTTTATTTTAGGATATTGTAGTGTTTAATATACGTGGTATGTGTAGTCAGTGTAATTTTCCTTTTCATGAGAATTCATGGGGAATAAATGATCTTAAATATATGTTTAGACAGTTGCTGTAAAGTAGTAGAGTGTTGCAAGTTTGAGTTTTCTGTTCCACTTCTGACTTTCCTTAAGGATAATGTGATTATTTATGCCCTTTAGAGAAAGTCCGGAGGGTGGATAATGTAAAAGCATGAGGCTACAGAAAGGAGAGAATGACAAAGTTTTAGAAATAAGAAGCATACAACTGAGACTGCAACTAACTTTCTTCAACTTTTTGTAACCTGTGCATTGCTTTCTAAAGAAGCAATTATTCTTTTTTTTTTTTACTGTAAATGGTCTTTACTTTTCTGTGTGTTCTATTCTAACCCAAAGGTGTGGATTCAGTGTTATAACTGAAAATACATTTTCAAAGGAGAAAAGAGGGAGAACCCTCCTTCTTAAAATTATACTCATTTCTCAGCCTTGCTTTACATTAGCTTGGCACAGGTTAATGTTCAATTCAGTTGTAGAGCTACTGTGTATGACTTAATGTTTTGGTGGAATTTGTACATGGAAGTTCTAACAATTCGCTTCATGAAGAAATTTTTTTACAGCTGTCTTTGCTGGAGAATGTTTGTATCATTCTATTGATAGTGGTTTAGGCTGGACACAATTATGCAACTCTTTATTATTGTACTTTAATTGTGGAAAAAAGTTCATAGTTTATGCACAGAGCTCCTCCAGAGCAGAGTGTGTGTGTATTTATTGGTATATGAAGTTGTCTGTTTTGCGCTGTGCATATACACAATAAACATACATGCACATGAACACATCATAAATTTAAAATATCTGTTTTAAGCTTTGGAGAAGAAGAAGAAAGTATGTTCTGCCTCAGAAGGTTCAGACTCCTCCTCCAGTGCGTCGAGCTCTTCAGAAACTTCATCTGAAAGTGAGGCTGAAAATGAAAGAAGCAGAAGAAGAAAGCGTAAAAGAAGAGCTAAAACCAAACAATTAAGGAAACGAAGAAAGGAGGAGAGGAAGAAAGAGGATCCAAGGTGCAAGCGAACCTCAAACCAAAGACGGTGACTAGTCTCTTAAATTTAAGAATACTGGAGAAATCTGAGAAATTCTGCTTTGTTTTCATGAAATACTCAAGCAATGAGTATGAAAATGCTTTTATTTATTTTTAAGTTTGGATTTTGGTGGTTGATTTTTATAAACAGAACCAAGCAAACAAAAATAAAAAGCTGAGCTTCTATGAAACAGTTGAAGATCTTTGTAGATACATAGAAGGTAGAGTGACTTCGAAGTAAATTTCAGCACATTAAAGTATTTAGGACTCACTATGCCTGTGGTATAGCGAGACTTTAGGCCAATAAGAGATTTTTTTAATTTATATTTGATTATATTTAAAATATGTTTTGTGACAAATGGCAAATTAAAAGCAAAATTAATTGCCATAAAGAAAAAACTGAATGGTCTTTCCAATAATAGTGCACCATCCTTCCTTTAGCCTAAAATGAGTTGTTAATGAAACACTTTTTGGTTGTTAAGCCTTTCTAAAGAAGCAATTATTATTTTTTTTTTACTTCCTTAACCTAAAATGGATTGTTAATGAAACACTTTTTGGTTGTTAAACCATCTTAAGGTTTGATGCATCATGTGGGCTTGTTTTGGAATTCACTTTGAAAAGCATTTTTTGTCAATTGACAGTTATTTTTTTATTTATCAACTTATTTTTCCCCATAGCAGCCTTTCTGACAAGAGTGATGTAACAGAAAAAGCAGTCGATGTTAGCACAAAGAGGGACAAGCCTGTGGTACGTCCTGAAGAAATTCCCCCAGTGCCTGAAAATAGATTTTTGCTCAGAAGAGATGTGCCTGTTGTCAGTGTAGAACCCGAACCGTAAGAATCATTGAGCTTTCTTACTATGTTGACTTGGTGGAAACGATGCATAAAATTTTCCTGCCTGTGTTCTGTTACTCGTGCTGATAGCAAATGATGGCTCTAGCATCAGAATTTCTAAATGAGGTAATTTAATTGTCCTTTTTACAATTTTCTCTGTAATATTCCCTACAAACTGTGTCAGGGTTTTTCAGCGAAATCTAATGAGCTAATTTCATTGGTCCTTAAGGAGCCTTGGACTCAATTACAGATGATGCAAAAAAAAAAAAGGAATAATTCCAGAAGAAATTTTGCAATGTAAACCACAGCAAATATTTGATTTTCAGGGGAGGCTTAGGATTTGGAGAAGTGAGTTTTCATCTTTCTTGGACTGAAGAGGAAACTTTGGTTCAAAGTCAGTCAACCAGGATTTTTATGAGTTACCTATGACTTTGAGAATAAGAGAAAATACTCTTCTCTTCATACAAAGGCGGTCCTGAGTTCACAAGTTACTTTCCATTTATCTTTTGCACCTCTACTAAATTGCAGTTACGTTCTTTTTCTATCAAATTTCTTTGCTTTTGGACTGAGATGAGCTAGTACATTACGTTACCAGATATTGCTAAAATCAGTTTGTGGTTTGTTTTTTTTTTT